TGATGTGTCGCCACCCTAGCCAGCACCCGAGTCCCATTGGCCGACAGCTCCTGGGCTTTCATGCTGCTGACTCTCTTGCAGATCCCCAAGCTGGATGCATCCAGAGCACCCGTCCGTTTGCATTTGTCTCAGGCTCTGATGTGTCAGCATTGCATTCAGGTGATGTAGCTCTGAGGGACCCATCATGGGGGTGAAGCTGAGTTTGCCTCATTGTTTACTAGCAGGTGCATAGCAACCTCTCCCGTCTCTGGACCTGTTCGCTGGGATCACTTGATTTATGGTGAGAGCTGCCAGCAGGCTCTACTGGAAACTTACTTTGCAATTAATCTATATTTCATAGCAGGTTCTTTAAAATTGTAAGTGGCACTGTTCCTTACTGAAGTTTCTGGGTTGGTGAGTGATTGGTTGATTGGGTGATGGATTAACTGCCAACTCATTTTGTTTATTTATATCTATATAGACTTGTGGTTTACTCTTACAGAAAGGGTTCTGTCCATTACTACTAGGTGTGTTGATGATCCTATTTATGCCTGAAGACACTTAGGGGCGGCTTCTGTGTCTTTCTGACATGTTCCCATCAGTCTTTGAGCACTTTCCGGCATGTTGGCACATGGATTCATCGTATGCCTTCCCTGCCCCAGTCCTGGAATCAACCATTTCTCCTGGTGTCTCTCGTTCCCGTTTAGTGGAAAAAATTATAGAGAAACTCTGGGTTTTAGATGTGTGTGTGTGTGTGTGTGTGTGTTCACTGTAGATGTGTGTGTGGGCACATATGTGTAAAAAGATTCTTCTCAATTTACAATAAGGTTTCAGCCCGATGAACCCAATGTACGTTGCAATAAATCCAAAATGCAGGCTGGCGCTGTGGTGCAGTAGGCTAAGCCACTGCTTGCAACACCAGCGTCCCACAGGGCAGTGCCTCAGCCCAGCTCCCCTGCTTCCCAGCTTTCCCGAGGAAGGCAACGGAAGATGCCCAAGTGCTTGGACCCCTGCCACCCACGCGGAAGACCCAGATGAGGCTCCTGGCTCCTGGCTTTGGCCTAGCCCAAAGGAGTGTGCTTTATTTTTTGTGACTGTATTTACATTTTCTCATTGTATTTTAAAAAAATGTTTATTTATTTTTTTCATATTTCTTGGAAGGTAGAGAGAGAGACAGAGAGGGTGCAAGAATGCACCTTCATTTGCTAGTTTCCCTCCAAATCTCCACAACAGCCAGAGCTGAGCCGGGTGGAAGCCAGGAGCTGGAAACTCCACCCAGGGAGCAGCTGGGTAGGTGGCAGGGTCCCGTGCTCTTGGGCCATCATCTGCTGCACATGCCTACTCCCCACCTGCCCCAAGAGTCAGAAGCAGAATGGCCAGAACTCAAACTCGTGCTGCAATATGGCTGTGGTCATCTCAGGGAGCAGCTTACCCTGCTGCAGCCCTTTTTTCACAGCTGGACTGTCAAGTGCCCGTGAGTAGTTCTCCCCGTATTCGCTCTTCTTGGGATTCGCTGCACTTTGTAATTCTGTAATTAATGTCTCTATCTGATTTTGAGACTTCTTGCCCATTATCTCTTCAAGTATTGCTGGCCTTATTTCCCTCTTGCCTCTTTTTTTTTTTTTTAAGATTTATTTTATTTTTGAAAGAGTTACAGAGAGGTAGAGCCAGAGAGAGAAAGGTCTTCTATCCAATGGTTCACTCTCCAGATGACCGCTAAGGCCAGAGCTGAGCTGATCCAAAGCCAGGAGCCAGGAGTTTCTTCTAGGTCTCCCATAAGGGTGCAGAGGCCCAAGGACTTGGGCCATCTTCTACTGCTTTCCCAGGGCACACAGAGAGCTGGATTGGAAGTGGAGCAGCCAGGGCTTGAACTGGTGCCCATATGAGATGCCGGCATGGCCGGCGGGTGTTGGCTTTACCCGCCTCGCCACAGCACTGGCTCCCCTCTGTCCTCTCTAAGAATCCAGTTAAGCATTGAAACCATGGGGCTGTGTCCTAGTACGTGTCTTACACTTTAACCTGTTATCTCATCATTTCCCCTCTCTCTGTGCTTCACTGTGGGTATTTTCTGTATTCCTGACTCCTTCATCTATTGTGTTTAGGCTGATGTGAAATAAATCTATTCAATGGATTCTTTTTTAAAAAAGATTGATTTATCCATTTGAACATCAGGGTTACACAGAGTGAGGGAGAGACAGAGACAGAGAGATCTTCCATCCACAGGTTCACTCCCCAAGTGACTGCAATGGCCAGGACTGAGTCAAGCCAAAGCCAGGAGCCAGGAGCTTCTTCCACATCTCCCACATGGGTGGCAGGGACACAAACATGTGCACCATCTTCCGATGCTTTCCCAGGCCATTAGCAGGGAGCCGGATTGGAAGTGGAGCAGCCAGGACAGGAACCAGTGCCCTCATGGGATGCCAGCATTGCATTCAGTGGCTTCACTCACTGTGCCACGATGCCAACCCCCTCAATTAATTCTTTTTGTGTTGCTGCTGTTCTGATGCACACAAGCATTTATTTATTTTCTTACTTTTTTTTTATTTTAGCTCCCACATACAAGGGAGAACATGCATTATTTGTCTTTCTGGGTCTGGATTATTTCACTCAACAGGATGCTTTCCATTGCATCCATTTTGCTGCACATGGTAGAATTTCATTCTTTTTTATAGTTGAAAAATACTCCATTGTGTATATAGACCACATTTTCTTTTTCCATTCATCTGATGATGGTTAGTTCCAGATTTTGGCTATTGTGGACAGTGCTGCTCTAAACATGGTGGTGCAGGAATTTCTTAGACACAATGTGTTCGTGTCTTTTGGGTACATACCCAGTAGTGGGGTTGCTGCGTCACATGGAGAGTCTATCTCTAGCTTTTAAAGAAATCTCCACACTGTTTTCTATAGTTGCTGCACTAATTTACATTCCCATCAGCAGTGTGTCAGTGTTCCCCTTTATCTACATCCTCGCCAGAATTTGCTACTCTCTGTGTTTTGGATTTTAGCCATTCTAACATCATGAGTGAGGTGATAGCTCCTCGTGGTTTTGATTTGCATTTCTCTGACGGTTGGAGATGTTGATAATTTTTTCATAATTTGTTGGATACTTGTGTTTCTTCTTTTGAGAATTGTCTGTTGAGGTCTTTTGCCCATTTCTTACCTGGTTTGGTTGTTTTTTTGTTGTCGAGGTTTTCTTTAAAAGATTTACTTTATTTATTTGAAAGGCAGAGTTACAGAAAGAGGCAGAAGGAGATGTCTTCCACTCACTGGTTCACTCCCAAAATGGTCAGGCTGGGCCAGGCTGAAACCAGGAGCCAGGAGCCTCTTCTGGGCCTCCCACATGGGTGCAGGGGCCCAAGGACTTGGGCCATCTTCTACTGCTTTCCCAAGCTCATTAGCAGGAAGCTGGATTAGAAGCGGAGCAGCCAGGACTCCAACCAGTACACATATGGGATGCCGGCATTGCAGTTGGCAGCTTTACCCACTACACCACAACACGGTCTCCTGTTGTTGAGTTTTTTAAGTTGCTGATATTAATCCTGTGTTGGACAGGTAATTTGCAAACATTTTCCCCATTCCATTGGGTGTCTCTTCACTTCATTTTATTGGGTGTTTCTTCCGTTGTGCAAAAGTTTCTGAGTTTGATGTACTCCCATTTGTTCATTTTTGCTTTTGTTGCCTGTGCTTTGGGGGTCTTGTCCAAGAAGTCATCTCCTACACCAATGTCTTGGAATGCTTTCCCTATGTTTTTTTTCCCAGCAACTTCATAGTCTCAGGCCTTAAATGGAGGCCTTTAATCCATCTTGAGTTGATGTTTGTATATGGTGAGAGGTATGGATCTAATTTTATTCCTCTACATATACACATTCAGTTTTGCCAGCAACATTTGTTGAAGATATTATCCTTACTCCACTGTATGGTCACAGCACTTTAGTCAAAAATCAATCAGCTGTATGTGCATGGATTGATTTCTGGGCTCTCTGTTCCATTGATCTATGTGCCAGTTTTTATGCCAGTACCATGCTGTTTTAATTACTGTAACTTTGTGGTATTCTTTGAAGTCAGATATTATGATGCCTCCAGATTGATTTTTCTTGCTCAGGATCCTTTTGGCTATTCTGGGTCTTTTGTGATTCCATATGAATTTTAGGATTGCTTTTTTTAATTCTGTAAAGAATGTCATTGGTATTGTGATAGGGATTACATTGAATCTGCAGATTTCAGTGAGTTCTTAATTTCACATTCAACACATTCAGTTGTTGGAATTTATTTTAAAGATTGATTTATTTATTTGAAAGGCAGAACTACAGAGAGGCAGAGCCAGAGAGAGCTAGAGAGGTCTTCCATCTGCTGATTCAATGACCAAAACGACTGGAGTTGTGCTGATCTGAAACCAGGAGCCAGGAGCTTCTTCCAGGTCTCCCACGTGGGTGCAGGGGCCCAAGCACTTGGACCATCTTCCACTGCTTTCCCAGGCCACAGCAGAGAGCTGTATTGGAAGTGGAGCAGCCAGGACTTGAATTGGCACCCACATGAGATGCCAGCACCACAGGCAGCAGCTTTATCCGATATGCCACACTGGTTTCTGTCTATGAATTTTTAGATTCCAATTCTCTGTATTCTCCCTCTTTTCATTCATTTCGTCTATCTTTCTGTGTATAATCTTTTTATAATAATTATTTTAAAGTTGTTGTCTGATGACTCAAGTCATTTAATCATCTGTGCTGTGATGGTAAAATAAATTCCTCCACCCAAAACGTGGTTCAAATGTCAAGACTGATGACATCACCCACACACACTCCCTCAATAACCTACTTCCCACTCTGCCTCACCTCTTAAAGGATCCACACAACCTCTCAACACCACACTGAGTTGCACGCTCCCAACTTGTGAATGCTTGGGGAGCACCTTCAAACCCCAGCATCCCACCCCTGGCCTCCGAGACTCACACGCTTCTCACAATGCAAAATGTAACCACTCCCCCCAGTTGTACCAAAGTCTTAACTTGTCCCAGTATCAACCTTGTGCAAGAGAGATCCCCAAGTCCAAAGTCTCATCTGAGGCTCAAGGAAACTTCCAACCAGCTGTGAGTCTGTCAAAAAAATCAAAAAGAAATTATCGACTTCGTGATAGAAGGGTGAGACAGGGATAGGACAAAGATGCCTATTCCAGAAGGGAGAGAGAGAAAAGTAGAAGGCAGTAATCAAGGCCCCAAATCAAGACCCAAACCCAGCCGGACAGGCAGAGATCTTCAAGTTCCAGGTCTCTCATCCTACCCACGCTGTAGCAGAGGGTAGGTCCCCAAAGCACCAGACAGCCCTACCCCTAAATTTTTGCTGGTTGCAGATCCCACTGTTACTCTTGGGCTGGCTTTGTATGTTTCCTGTAGCTTTCCCCAATGGGCACAGCACACTGCTTGTTGCTCTACCTGCTTGAGGTCTCAGTGGTGGCCCCACAACTCTACCAGGCATTCTCCAGAGGAAAAGACAAAGTCCCCAACCCTGCCTCCCACACTTTGATTTGAAATCTTGGTGGAAGCCATCACAACTCCCCCACTCTTGCATCCTGTGCACCTGCACAATCAGTACCACCCGGAGACCAACAAGGTTTACCGCCAGCATGAGCAGCGCCTGCGTCTGCTGGAGCCATAGCTGGAGCAGCCACAGAATTCCAAGGTGACACTTGGCCGTGAGCCTGGGAGATTGTCCTCGGGCTCTTCCCTGAAACAGTGCTGCCCTGGAAAGCCTCCAGGCCTGTGAAGAGAGGGGCACCCTTGACCGTTTCTGAGAGCCCTTGAGACCTTTTTCTCACGGTCTTGCCAATCAGCACACGACCCCCTTTTATGCACACTCTTATTTTGTTTTCCCAAAGATGCCTTTGCATTCTTTCCCTGGCCAGGCTCTGCTTTTTCCCAATCTTTTCAATCTGCTTCCTGTTGCCCCTGAGTCTCTCTGTTCATCTGATTCAAAGTGGCCAGTGACACTCATTTCACAGTCTGAACGCTCTGCTGTTTTGAATTTCCTCCACCAGATAAATTAGTCCATCCCTCTTAAAGTCAGTCTTCCATGAAGTTCCAGGGTATGGACACGATTCAGCCAAGTTCTTTGCCACAGTGTTAGTAAGGGTCGCCTTTATTCCAGTTTCCAGTAGAACCCTCCTTTCCATCTAGCTTCCTAGTCTTGCCTTCTGAGCTCCCCTGGGACTGCTCACAGAGATCTGCGGCAGCATTCTAGACTTTCTCCAGCCTGCTTCTGCAAGCTCAGCCAACTTCTGACTGTTACCCAGGTCCAAAATCATTCCTACGGTTTTCAGTTTAGTTATAGCCATTGATGCCATGCTGTGGTCAATTTTCTAGAGCAGTCCACTTTCTGTTACTATAACAAAATACCTGAGGCTGAGAACTTGATCAAGAAAAGAGGCTGATGTAGCCCATAGCTCTGTAGGTTCAAGGGCACAGCATTGGCATTGGCTCAGCTCCAGGGATGACCTCGTGGCAGATAACTCTGCAGCAGGATCATGTATGAAAGGGAGAGAGCACGCGGCAAGACAGGAAGCCAGAGCCATACCTGGGCGCGCCAGTCAGTTGTCCCAGAAGTGAGCCAGAGGAATGGAAAGGTGTGGGATACGAAAGTCATGAGCAGCCGCAAATCAAAGACGGAGCCTGACTCCCGTGCTGTACAGTGAATGTGTGTGCCTCCTCCGGCACAGAAATGTCAAAGTGCTGACTCCCAGCGTGACAGCGGCTGCAGATGGGGCCTGCGGGAGGTCATTAGACTAACACGGGGTCATACTGTGGGAGGGGCACCCTTTGAAGAAGAAGGAGGAGGCCAGCATTGTGGCATAGTGAGTAAAGCTGTTGCCTGCAATGCGGGCATCCCTATGGACACAGGTTCAAGTCCCAGCTGGTCCTCTTCCAATCCAGCTCCGTGCTAATGTGCCTGGGAAAGCAGCAGAGGATGGCCCAAGTGCTTGGGTTCTTGCTATCCATGTGGGAGACCTGTATGGGGTTCCTGGCTCCTGGCTTTGGACTGGCCCAGCCCTGACCATTGCAGCCAACTGGGGAGTAAGCTAGTAGATGGAAGATATTTCTCTCTCTCTCTCTCTCTCTCTCTCTCTCTCTCTCTTTCTATAACTCTGACTTTCAAATAAACAAATAGATGTTAAAAAGGAGAAGGAGAAGGAGGACACAGAGGGCCTTCTCTCCCCAATGTCAATCACAGCTATAGCAACCTGAGCTTTCATAATCTGCTCTCCTGTGGTTTTGGTCATGTTTTCCTACCTAATCACATGGCTTGTGATTTTGTTAAGTTTTAATTTACTTATTTGGGTAGGAGGGAAGAGAGAGAGAAAGAGAGAGAGAGAGAATCCATCACTGGCTCATCCTCCAATTGTTCAAAATGGCCAGGGCTGGCCCAGGCTAGAACCAGGAGCTGGTAACTCAATCCAGGTCCCACACATGGGTGGCAGAGGCATAGCTTCCTGGGCCACTACTGCTGCCTCCCCAGGGTCTGCATTAAGCAGAAAGCTGGAGTCAGAATCCAGGAAACTCAAGCCCACCAATGAGGGATGTGGGCATCTTAAACACTGGGCTAACCCCCACCCCCACCCCACCCCCGCGCACAACTTTTCACTTTTAAATTCCATTTCTGACATCATACATAAAAGAATCCTAGGACTTAAGGCCATTCTTGTTCTTCCCCAAAGAGGAGCCCTCCACCCTCTGTGAGGCTGCGAGGTCAGGGGTGAGCTGGGCTGGAGTCGGCGCAATTCTGCTGTCGGATGTCGCAAAGGTGAGCCTTGTGGCCTGCTTGGTGCTGCCTCCTTCTGACAGGACTTTTTTCCCAGGTGCCACGGAGCTGTACGGCTCAACTTCCTTCTCAGGCACGGCTAGCCCCCTTGAGTCTCTGACGCTGCGACAGGTCGTACTCTGATTGGCCTTGAACCTTGTGCTCTTACAGATGTGGAGCTTAGCTCTTTCCCCTCCCCCCACACACGAGCAGCGTCTCTCAGAGAGCACTGACGCCACATTTCTTGAAAGCCCTGTCTTCCAGATGCACTTTGCCTCCCCAGGCCTGTAAGCCTGCACCTTTGCTAGCTCAGCCCCCAGCACCCGCTCCTGCCCCGGCACTCAGCGATCCGGAGGGAGGGAGAGCAGTGAACTTGGACTCTGCTCCTGTCCAGTCAGTAGGGGCAGGCCTCTCCCTCCCCTGGAGGGCTCCCTCTGTCTGCAGCGAGCCCCAGAGTCAGTAGATGACCTCACAGAAGCAGGGGCTCGGGTACCCCAACTTCCCTAGAAAGGGCTTGTTCCATCTCTGGATCTTTGGTCCCGTCTTGCCCACTAAGGTTCACTAATATCTTTAAAATGCACCTTTTATAATTCATCCAGCTTTTTCCAGGATGGATCAGCCTGAGGTTCACCACCTCCTACCATGGTCTAGCCCCAAGGTGGGACCTCTGGCTGCCTTTTTTTGTTTTTTTTTTTGTTTGTTTGTTTGTTTTTGTTTTAGTTTCCCTGCTGTCCACCATGGGGCTGTCCTGTGCAGGAGGCAGGGTAAAGACAGTCCCATCATGTAGCCCGGTGAAGAATCCCAGTGCACTTTCCAAACATTTCCCCCTTCTCAGTCATGCTATGGAATTAACGCCTTCTTCCTAGGCAGGGAAATTCACATTTGACGGCTCTCTTGGCTCAAACAATGTTTAACCCAACAAAACCACAGTCAGTGGTGATGTCTGAGCCATGAGCTGAGAGTTAAGGGGGAGGAAGGGACACTGGGCATGGGGTTTTCTGCCATCCTTCAACTTGCTGGGCAAGCACCGCCCTTCCTGTTTCTCAGTCTAGCTCAGTAGCCGAAGGACCTGCAGAGTAGCTAACAGAAAGGCCGCGGGGGGCCAGCATTGTGGCACAGTGGGTGAAACCACCACCTATGACGCTGGTATCCCCTATCTGAGCAGGTGTGGGAGTCCTGGCTGCTCTGCTTCCAATCCAGCTCCCTGCTAATGCACCTGGGGGAGCAGCAGAAGATGGCCCAAGTGCTTGGGCTCCTGCTCCCCACACAGGAGACCTGGATGAAGTCCTGGGCTTCTTGCTTCAGCCTGGCCCAACCTTGGCCATTGCAGGCATTTAGGGAGTGAACTAGCAGATGGAAAATTCTCTCTCAATCTTTTTCTGTCAGTCTGCTTTACAAATAAATAAACAAAGGGGGGGGGAGGGAGGGTGGAGTCAGGAACAGCCTTGCTCCCAAACCCCACCAGGAAGTCCTTTCAGCCCTTCTGAGGGTCAGTGTGCCCCTCTGCGGGATGAGGCAAACAGTGCCTACCTCCTAGGCTGTCCTGAGAACCACGTGGGCAGAAAGGTGTCCCCAGTCCAGGAGAGGGGGCCATGGTGTCCTCTGCGGTCCTCCTTGTCCAGCCTTGCAGTCTGATTCTGTGGATTGGTGAGACCACAGTGGGTGGACAGACCTTCACAGTAAGATGCTGCGCAGTACCCAGGAGCGTGGATGGCTCTTGCGCTGTCACCACGTGACTGATCTCCTGCCAGAGCTATTCTGGCTAATTTTTTGCTCCTACGACCTCTTGATGCTGAAATCCCACGTGTCCTCAGAAGGCAGGACAGTGTCCTTTCCCTCCGGACGCTTGCCCTGAGCCTCCCATGCCAGCATGCAGGGCGACGCCAGCACCCAGCACTCTCTGGCGGCAGCCAGCACACACTGTGGACACATGCGGGCTGTGTGACTGTGGTCATGCCGCTGAAATTTTCGGCCGCCACTTTCCTTTCCTGAAACTGGGCACCACTATTGGAAGTACGGAATTAAACAATGGAAAGCCTAGGGTGCATGGGAGTCACTCAGTAAACGGCCCTGTCTCTGGGCGCCCCTACACCTCCAGCCCAGGCACCTGGCCCAGGGCTCTGCATCCTTCAGGCCAGAGTCTGCAGTTCACCTCCCCGACAGCAGAGGGCGCCGCCGTCAGGCAGCCGCAGCGGGGGCCCGTGCGAGCCAATGAGAGATCGGGAAGGCGGCGGGCGAGCCAATGGGCGCGTCGGGGGCGGGGCAGGGGCGGGCGGCCGGCGCGCCTCTCTGAATGCGCAGCGCGTCCGGGCCTCCCGGCCGGGCTTTCTCCACCGCTCGGGCAACGTGCCAGGCCCGCCGCCCGCGCCTCGCGGCCCCGCTTCCCAGCCCGGGAGAGTGGGAATAAATTAGGCTATTCTTAGTAGGGCCTGAAAAGGAGCCCTTTCTGTCCGCTAAGAAAGACAAAGTTGTGTCGGTCTCTAGTTCTCAAACCCAAACAGCGCAGTGTGGAGTCACCCGGCTCTGCCGTGCGGGGCTGGGCAGGGCGGGCTCCGCATCGGCGGCGGGGCTGTGGCGACTCGGGGTGCAGGCAGGAGGGCAGCCTCCGCACGCCCCGGGAACCTACCCCGCCCATCCCTCACCCGGGGCCTCCCCAGCCCTCTTCCTGGCTGTGCGGGTCTCAGGGAGGCCCAGGTGCGGGACCAGCGTGGCCTCTGCAGACCTCAGAACCTCTGCCCAACCTAGGTGGGGCTGCAGCTGCCTCAGCACCCCTCACCCACCTCTGCCCCCTGCCCACCACCCTCGCCTGGGGCCCCTGCATTTATTTCTTCCGTGGCCCGATTCTCAATGAGCTTCACTCATTCATTCCTTTGTGTCACAAGTTCCACCAGAGACCCTTCAACTCAACAAATAGGTGTTGACTGAGTGTCCAGATCCTTCTGGAACTTTCTGACTGCAGATTGATGGGCAGTCTTACTCTCCACAGCTACCTGAAAGACAGACAACCCTCGCTGGGGAGGGGTGCAGGGGCTCTTTTTGCTAAACCCGACCTGGGCAGGGTGTGGTCCACACACCTCTGTGTGCTTCTGCTAACATTGCAGGCTGGGGAGTTTTCTACAGACATCACAGACTCAGAGATTTCTGAGTAGTGTATGGATTCGTTATGAGTTAAGAGGGTCCAAGCTTGTCAACATGATAATGAAAATGACCCTTGGGGCCAGCGCTGTGGTGTAGTGGGTAAAGCTGCCGCCTGCAGTGCTGGCATCCCATATGGGCACTGGTTCTAGTCCCGGCTGCTCCACTTCTGATCCAGCTCTCTGCTATAACCTGGGAAAGCAGTAGAAGATGGCCCAAGTCCTTGGGCCCCTGAACCCACATGGGAGACTGTAAGAAGCTCCTGGCCTTTGAGGAGTGAACCAGCAGATGGTTCTCCCCGCCTCTCCCCCCACCCCCCGCCTGTCCCCTCCCTCTCTGTAACTCTGCCTTTCAAATAAATAAATAAATAAATAAATCCTTTATAAAAAATCAGATGACAGGGCACAGAGTGACGGACAGGGCCTGCTGCTGCCCCTCCCCTCCCTCGGTTTCTCTGGAGGCCCCCGCGAGCCGGGCACAGGGCACAGGGCGGGGACCTGAGAAGGAAGGACCTCCTCAAGGGCAGCACCCTGCCCCTGACCTGCAGACTCACACCTGTGGAGCCGGAAGGCCCTGCCCAGGAGTAAGGACGGGGGTGGCGGCGCATCACAGAGCCCGCATGTTGGCTGTTTTTCTCTCTGCCCAGGGTCCTCCCAGGGCACCCCCTACCCCACGTCACCGCCGCCACCCTCACCTCCACTCAGTGTCTTTACCAACTTCCCCACCTTGGAGGAGCGTCTGATGGCATGAAGGGCCATGCAAAGGTTGTCTGAGGACAGGGAAGCGAGCCGCTTGCTGTGATGAATGTTCTAGAAAAGTAATTTATTTTTTCAGGGTAGCTCTCCGCGCTCAGGAACAAAGGCACTTTGGCTGTCTATCAGCTGTTGACGGAGGCTCACGCTCTCCTGCGCATCTCCCTAGGCATGGCAGGAGGGACACCAAGTTCAAGGGCTCCCTGGAGTTCCCCTCCTTGGATAAAGCGGCAGCTGCTTCCTGGGGGTGGGGTCCCCTCCCTCACACCCTCTTCCCTTCTCGGCTCAGTCACTTCCACACGGCAGCCCGAGGACTTCTCCTCCTGGTGGGAGGGGCAGGAGTGGGTCCCCAGTGGGTCAGAGGTCAGCAGGAAGCTCAAGGCCAATGCTGCCCACAGCAGCCCCACCCCCACCCCGGGCCTCCACATAGTTCAGCCGTCAGCCCACCGAGTCACATCCCGAGCTGCCGTTTCTCCAGCTGCCCCACTTTGCCCAAAGTCGTGACCCCTAAAGTTGGGTACTCAGGCGTGCGATCGGCAGCAGGGCCAACCTCTTGGAAGACAGCAGAGCCACTGACAGCCCCGACAATCCGCTGTTGCCCAGTGACGGCTATGCTGGGTCGTAGCCGGGGAGTCCCTTCAGTCCCTGGGAAAGATGACAGCCGGAGCAAAACCGGGATTCCGTTGCTGCCAGCCTTTGTGGGACTGAAACTCGCTATTCCGAGAGCCTGAGTTTGAGCCGGAGTTCCAGGGAGCCAGAGGTCTCCTGCCAGCGTGGGCCCAGGGGAAGCCCAGCCCACACCTGGCCTCTCCCGTGCTGCCCACCTGTGGCCTGACTCCTGCTGTCAGACTGGCCATAAGGGCAGCTGTCAGGAACGTGAGGCCAGCTGAGGCCGCCTCTCGGCCTGGACAGAAGCACAGGCGCCCCTGTTCCACCATCGTAGGGCTGTGTGTGGAGGTGTGGGTCCCCTCCAGCGGCACAGGGGCTGAGTCTGTTCCCCTTCCTCTGCTCAGTGCTCAGGGGATGGAAGCCGCTGGGCTCTACAGAAAAAAGTGCGGGAGCACACACTTGGCCTGGTGGTCAGGACTGCAGCCTCTACAGCACTGCGGTACAGCAGGTGAAGCCGCTGCGCCAGACTCCTGGCCTTGGCCTGGTGCAGCCCTGCCCTGCCCATCGTGGCCATACGGGGGACTGAACCAGCCGATGGAGGATCTCTCCTGCTTTCTGTCTCTCCCTTCGTCTCTGTCACTCTGCCTTTCAAATAAAATGTCTTACATTGAAAAACAAGAAGAAGATACCCACATCCCACATGAGGAACGCCTGGATTTGAGCCTCAGCTTCAGCTCCTGCTACTGCAAACCCTGAGAGGCAGCGGTGACGGCTCAAGTAATTAGGTTCCTGCCACCATGTGGGAGACCTGGATTGAGTTCCAGGCTCCCAGCTTCAGTCTGGCCTAGTTGTGTCCATTGTGGACATCTGGGGAGTGAACAAGTGAGTGAGAGCACTTTCCTCTCTACCTATGTATTATCTATCTATCTATCTCTATAGCTCTCTCTTTCTGTCTCTCTCTGCCTGCTAAGAATGAAAATAAGAATAATAGGCCGGCGCCGCGGCTCACTAGGCTAATCCTCCACCTTGCAGCGCCAGCACACCGTGTTCTAGTCCAGTCGGGGCGCCGGATTCTGTCCCGGTTGCCCCTCTTCCAGACCAGCTCACTGCTGTGGCCCGGGAGTTCAGTGGAGGATGGCCCAAGTGCTTGGGCCCTGCACCCACATGGGAGACCAGGAAAAACACCTGGCTCCTGGCTTCGGATCAGCGGGATGCGCCGGCCACAGCGCACTGGCCGCGGCGGCCATTGGAGGGTGAACCAACGGCAAATGAAGGCCTTTCTCTCTGTCTCTCTCTCTCTCACTGTCCACTCTGCCTGTCAAAAATTTAAAAAAAAAAATAAGAATAATAAAGAACTTTAGGCAAGTAGCAAGGTGTGAGCTTCCTTTCACCCACTCTGCCAACTCTGATTCTGGAGCTTGGATGAGTTTCTCTGGACAAGGCCCCAAATTGAACTTTTTTAATTAAAGATTTATTTATTTGAAAGTCAGAGAGAGAGAGAGAGAGAGAGAGAAAGAGAGCAAGACAGCGAGTGCTTGCATCTGCTAATTCACTCCCCAGATGGCCACAACAGCCAGCACTGGGCCTGGACAAAGTCAGGAGCCAAGAGTTTCATCTGGGTCTCCCACGTGGGTGGCAGGGGGCCATGCATGCAGGCCATCTTCTGCTGCTTTCCCCAGGCCATTAGCAGGGAACTGGATGGGAAGTGGAGCACCCTAGACTCAAACGAGTGCCCCTGTGGCATGCCATCATCAAGGCAGCTGCTTTACCCTTTATGTCACAATGCCGGCCCCCAAGGTGAACTTCTGATGTGGCTGTAGGGACGTGTTCCTTCCTTCTGAGACAGAGGCAGCCAGGTTGTAACAGTCTTTTAATGGACTTGGCCTTCTGGAATCCATACTTGTATTGTCCCATTTTCTCTCACTTTATGACTAGCTTTTGAGCAGTAGAATGTCCTTACAAGTGATGCTTGTGTTTTTCAAAGCTAAATTTTGGAGGGAAAAAAAGCCTTGCTACTTCTGCCAAGACCTCTGGTTCACGGACTCTGGAGGAAACTAGGCTCTATGTAGGAACTCTAACTTCCCCGAGCCTGCCATGGCATGAGGAGTCTGTACAGGAGAGATAGTGATCTGGCTGCTGCTCGGCTCTCCCTGGAGAAATTCCTGGAGGAAGACCTGCCCCACTGAGCCTCAGGACTGCAGCTTCTGCTACAGCCTCCATCTAAATTGCAGTCGCGTAAGAGGTCTCAAGAGAAAACCGCCCAGCTGAACCCAGCCACCTCCAGAAGAAAATGGTAAGTACCTACTGTCAGCCACTAGGGGCCTGTCTGTAAGGCAGCTACAGAAAACTGGAACAGAGATCCTGGCATGGAGGAGAAGCCAGAGGTTTGCAAGGAGTTCCCAGTGCCACCAGCCGGTGGTTTCCAGCAGTGGCGTTAGCGCTTGTCAGCAAGGAAATCTTCCATCCGCTGGAAATCATCACTAGGACTTTGACTTGTTGAAGAAACCAACGCTTAGGGGCTCCGTTTATGAAAAGGTGGGAAGTCCCACCCAGCTCTGCTTTCATTATGAGCCCCTGCAGCAGCCCCAGGGATGTGCACAAGATGGTCCCCTGCCCTCCACGGGCTTTGCTGACTCACTTTCCCCTGCTGCGGAGGGAGTCCTGGCCACAGCCTGCCGTTGCGTTCCTTGTGCTTGTGAAGGTTGTTCTCCAGCACCTACTCTTTGTCAGCAGACAGAAGAGCCCCTAGGGAGACACATCCTGAGTCCTTCCTCCACCCACAGGATGCTAGGGCGGGCCCAGCAAGTCCTCCTGAGATGTGAGAATACCCTTTCTGATGAGACATGGTTACAAGATACACTGTTGTCGGCCTCTGTCTCCAGTCCACTTTAGGAGGCGACCATAGATAAGCTCCGGTTTCCTGATGGAGAAGTGAGGCCAAGGAGGCACAGGCTTGCAGTAAAGCAAGAGTAGAGATATCTGCAGCCCCAGCTCAGACCTTTCTTCACAGCAACAGGGCCCACTGCAGCCACAAAGCTGGTGGTCAGGGTCTGGAGGGGACGGTACAGCTCTCTCTTCCAAAACCCAGCCATGCTGAGCCCCAGACCCCACCAGGGCAGAGTGGCCAGCCCAGTCCTCTCCCTACCTAGACCCTGCAAGGAACTTGCTGTTCCCTGTGAGCTCCTCCAGGAACAGACAACTGCCCAACAGCCCAGCTGTGCCCCTGGAGACAGCATGTACTGCACAGACCTCACTCCCTTCTTGTCCTTATCACCAAATGCCCCCAACTCTGCTTTGCTCCCCACCCGCCTTCCTCTGAGGGAAAGCGAGGGCTTGCAGAATAAGCACTTGACTCTTCTCCAAAGCCAAGGTTTGTTCCAATGGCTTTGACTTTCAACCTCCCCATGTCTCCTTGAAAAGATGAACCGTGCTTTTGTACCACAGGACATGCCAGGAATAGCTCACCCCGAGTGCTTTCGGGAGGGGTGTTCCCAAGGAAGGGGGCCGCGGGTCAGCCAGGCAGCTCCAGGGTGCCATTAAGATGATGGACGCCTTTTTCCACGCAGCTTTGGGCGAGCCATTGAGCTTCATTACTCATCTCCTCCTCGGGGAGGTCACCCCTGTGTGAGAGGACGTGTCCTGAGCTCCCTTGGCTGGGACACAAGCTCAGGGGACCACACTCACATCGTTGCAACCAGAGGACATGGGGCCAGGACTTCAAAATGCCCTGGCTTGGGAGAGCCCTCTGACAGCTCAGTGCATCCCTGCTTTGAGGGCAAAAACACAGCCGGATGCCTTCCCAGCCTCTCTCCTCCACCCAGTCCCCTCTCCCTGGTAGATTCTCCCAACAGCTGGCAATTTCCCATCGAGAGGAAAGCCAGATTTTTCTGACCAACTTAGCAGCATCTGAGTAGGCTACTCAAGCCCCAAAGACCACAACAGCCACCCACCACGCTGTTGCTGCAATGACCAAGTGCTGGCGCAGGAACTTGACCCCTCTTGCAAAGGAGGTTTGGGTGGGAGTTCAGGCTGAGCACTTGGCTCTTGGTAGGTAACTGGCAGGGCTGGGATTAGATGAGATGAGGTCTGATTCCAAAGCTCACCCTGCTCTCTCCTTGAGTGACCCCAATGCCCAAGTTGTTCTGAGGGCCAAAGCTTTCTCTGATATAAACCTACAGGCTAGATCCAAGGCCTGGGAGAAACTGGGTCAGGCCTAAGCCAAATGACCAGAGCCGGTCACTTCTCTGCCTCCCAGCCCACGCTCCTTGGCTGGCCTTCACACTGGGGGCTGGGCAAGGGCAGAAGAGCAGGAGGAGAGCGGGAGGGTCCTCAGGCAGCCCCCCTTTGCAGCAGCAGTTGGGGAGGAGACTTAGAAGTGGGGAACTCTCACTCTAGAACCTGGGGGTAAAAATCCCATGAGACAAGAATTGCCCCCACCCATCTCATGGATGGAAAAACAGAGGCACCATGGGCTCGTAGGACCCAAAAGACCTACAGGTGCCATCCCAGCCTGTTGGCCCCAAAGATCATGCTTCCCTCAGCTTCCCACACACCCTCTACATGGAAAAATCCTGAATCTGACCTTGGACAGAGCAGCTGGGCCATTAACCATTGCTGGGTATCAACTGTTCGGGTCGTGGACCAACAGGACCACGTCCCGTCGGCCTGCTCCCTGATCCTGCAGGAGCACACAGCTTCTCGTCTGTGAGATTAACATTCCTAAGGACTATCAATCCTCCCCTTATCCGGCCGTGGGTTTGACTGTGCTCTCGAAAACTGCCTTCTCTCCCGCTTTGGTATGTCAAACCTTCTCTCCTGAACTATTATAATTACCCTTGTTTACACGATCGACTGGCCCTTTAAGGTCTCTCTGTGTAAATACAGCGAAGATAAATTTCAGCCGAAATCCCGTCTGAATAGTTCCAAATCTGAAATGCTGTGGGGTCAGCGTCAATGGGCTTTGGCTGTACCTTGGTCGTGGGGAGGAGGAATATATTACCTCTGACCTTTCTGGGAAGAGCGATGGCCAAGCCGTGGCCACTGGGAAGCAATTGGAGAGGGTGAGCCTGTCCCATCCTCCGCCCACATGTGCAAACCCAGACTCCCGCCTGGAGCCTGGCGCTGAGCGGTGCAAGGAAGGCAGGACGTGGAAAGGACGGCTCCTGGGCCCGTGCTCAGCACCTGCGGCTTGCACTGGGGTCACCACTTGCCCATCCTGCTGTCAGCCACGGAATGCAGACCCCCCTGGCCACCTGCCTCCTATGGGGTTTGGCCCTGGGGAGCCTCAGCGGGGTTGAGCAGGAGATTGACATGGGGTCCTTATTCCTCTGGGGCCGTCTCCCAGCGGGTCCCCCAGTTCTCTTTACAGACCCTCATCTCCTTTATCTCACCCCTAGACCCCTGAGTAGGGCGGGCCCCCTGGCAGCAGCCTCACCGTGCTGGACCCTCCCTCCCGGTCCCCACCCTGCCCACTCCTGTGGGCGGGGTCCCTCTTCTAGGTCTCCTTCCCTCACGTGTGCCCGCAGCTCCCTGGCTCTGTCCCTGTGTGCCCAGGGAGCACGGATAGAGTCCCAAGAGCTATCATTTGCTAAGTGTCTTCTTTTAACAACAACAAAAATTGGCTTTTTATTAATTTTTTACTTATTTGAGAAGGCAGAAAGACACAGAGAGAGGACTCTTATTTGTTGGTTCACTCTCCAAATGCCTGCATCAGCCAGGGCTGGGCCAGCCGAAGCTAAGAACTCAGTCTAGGCCACCAAGGAGGTGGCAGGGATCCAAGTACTTGAGCCAACACCTGCTGCCTCCCAAGGTGTTCAATCGCAGGGAGCTGGACCAGAAGCAGAGCCAGGGCCCACACCCATGCACTCTGATAAGAGAGCAAGTGTCGGAAGTTGGATCTTAACCATGCCGGATAACTGCCCTTGCTACAGGTCTTCTGTGGGTCAGTTGTCTTGCCTATCTGGTCATGCATCACTCTTTTTTTTTTTTTTAACAGGCAGAGTGAACAGTGAGAGAGAGAGAGAGACAGAGAGAAAGGTCTTCCTTTTTGCCCTTGATAGGCTGGCGCCGCGGCTCAATAGACTAATCCTCCACCTAGCGGCGCCGGCACCCCGGGTTCTAGTCCCGGTCAGGGTGCCGGATTCTGTCCCAGTTGCCCCTCTTCCAGGCCAGCTCTCTGCTGTGGCCAGGGAGTGCAGTGGAGGGTGGCCCAAGTGCTTGGGCCCTGCACCCCATGGGAGACCAGGAAAAGCACCTGGCTCCTGGCTCCTGCCATCGGATCAGCGCGGTGCGCCGGCCACAGCACACCGGCCGCAGCGCACCGGCCATGGCGGCCATTGGAGGGTGGATCAACGGCAAAGGAAGACCTTTCTCTCTGTCTCTCTCACTGTCCACTCTGCCTGTAAAAAAAAAAAAAAAAAAAAAAAAAAAAAAAAAAAAAAGCAGCCCTTGTAGGAAAGTAACCCCGCTTTTCAGAGGAGGAAGCCAGAGCGTTCAAAGTCAAGTGGCTTGTCCGGGATGTGTGCCGGAGAACGGCAAGCAGGGTAAAAGCCAGATGCAGCCTTCTGGGAGGCCTGAGTGCCTTCCAGCCAGTTGCACTGCCACACAAGGCACACGGGCTGCAGGAGCAGCTGCCATTGCTGTTGTCAACCCTCCTGGACCTAGCACCAAAGTGACGCCGACTTTCAGCCCAGGTCTCCTGACCACGTGGGCCAGCTCTTTCCCCACTGGCGCCGAGGCTGGGACCTGTCATTTGTTTCACACCCTTGCCATTCTCCCTGAAGCCAGGCATTTTGAACCTAGCGGTATTTGATGTCTAGAGCCACATGGCATTTGAGCATTTCGGTTTTTTCCTCTCGTGTCTGATCTCCTCTCTCCCCATTCAACAAAATTGTTCACACATTCCGTATAGATTATCAAAGAAAGAAAGTTAGGGGAGTAGGCGTTAGAGTGCCTGGGTTCAACACCAGGCTCCAGCTTCTGGCTCCAGCTTCCTGCTATGCAGAGCCTGGGAGGCAGCAGGTGATGCCTCAAGCATGGGTTCCTGCCACCCGTGTAGAAGACCTGGACCTGAGTCTCAGCGCCTGGCTTCAGCCCAGCCCAGCCCTCACTGTTGCAGGCATTTCAGGAGAGAGTCAACGGATGGTTCTCTCTCTCTCCCTCTCCCCGTGTATGTATGTGTGTGTGTGTGTGTGTGTGTATCTGCCTGCCAAATAATTTTTTAAAAGATTTATTTACTTACTTGAGAGGCAAAGTTACAGACAGAGAGTGGGAGACAGAGAGAGAGAGAATTTT